AAAAGTAGCCCCCAAAAATTTTCCCAAAATTTGATATAGATCGAGTCCCCGAAAAAAAAAATCTTTCACTGGATTCTACGCTCACAGTCCCACACACAGTCGAGTCAATTTGTGCACAAACCGTCCGATTTTTCGCGTAAAATCTTTACTTTGAAAATAATTATACACATTTTGTGAATAATGCCAACATAATCATAATCCAAGCCTCTGCATATGTAGTCTTTTCATGAAACTACATTGAAATCACAACAATAATAATGCAAATAAATAGTAATTATCGAGATCCTATCTGACATAGTTTGTTTTACGATGCGCCATTCATGGTCAAACAGCATATATTATAAAAATTCTCTATATAAAGATAATCTAATTTTTTTTTGGATAGCACATAGGCCTCTATCTATCTATCTATTTGGCCCCCTCCCCTAGAATCCCGTGGATTTTCCACGGGTCCTGCTAGTCTTATTTTAATAGCCATAGCGTTCGGCATTTTAGTCTTCGTCGTGGACTGTGCATCAAATAAGAGTTTAACCAAATTTGATTCACCACATGGATATATATACGCTTCTTCACAAGTGTGCCCATACTCTGAAAAGTATAAAAGTAATTCAATTGTTTTATTAATTATATATTTACATAATATTGACTGGCCTTGAGAGAGAAACAAATTATATTACCCAAACTAGACTCATATTGCCCCGAGTCATAGACGAGAGCAATATGGGTATTGTGAGGGCAATATATGTGGTCTCCCGAAAGTTAAGCCAGTCAATATTTTTATTGTTATCCAAATCAGACATCTAGAGCAAATACATATACAACTATGACAATCTCAAAAAACTGAACAAACTTTGTCAACCAGCAGTGCTTGACGAAATTTTCGATACACTGCAAACAGTGTGCCTTAATTGGTGTGATTATTACGTCACAATAGATGCGCAATGAAAATGACAAAAAACGGCGCGGTCAATACAAGACTATATTTTCACTCGTCTCTACACGCAAAGTCTATACGGGCAGGGAGACCAAGAAAAATACATAGAATATACTCCTCCGTTCCCACTTCTAGTGAAAACTAGTGCAATACGGTTTTTTTAAATGACCAGCCCAGATGTCTGATACGGGTAATAATTATGTATATATATATATATATATACATCTATGTATATATACACATAAACAAAAAAAAAACTTTTTTGTCTTCAATAGTTTTCTTTGATTCCAAAACAATAAAAATCCTTCTTTAAAATACATTGTTTTATCTTGACATGATTTAATACATTTTGGATACATAGATTGTACGATTGATGGAGAAAAATAATATAAAACAAATAACCCCATCCAACCAAACACACCACAACCCCCCCCCCCCCATGCGACCCACGACACACACACAAACCATTGTGTGCGTGTGTGCGTGCGTGTTCGTGCTTATGTGTGTGTTTGTGCGTGTTAGTGTGTGTGATTTAGAATGGCGAGATATTTTGTTAGGTTGGCAGGTAATTCATATAGAATAAAAATGTGTAATACTATAATGTTCATGGTGAAGTATGTTACATTTATTTCAAGATCCGGGGGGGAGAGTACCAACTTTAGAAAAGATGAAGAAAAGCATTTTTAAGTATAGAGATGAGGAAAAGAAAATAGCTATTGAAATGGGAGAGCTGGGATCACATTTTTTTTAAAGTGGGAGCAGCTTAGTGTTAATTAAGATTTTTCTTCACCACCGTGAGCGTTTTAAAAGTGGATTTGCTGCCTGGTTAATGTACTTATTTAGTATATTTTTCTTGAGTTGAGAATGTTAGCAGACATCCACTGAGTGATTAGAATGTATGTGTGTGTGTGTGTGGGGGGGGGAGGGGGTGTACGCGTGAGTATGCGTGTGGGTGGGTGTGTTTTGTGTGAGGGAGGGGGGCAGGGAGGAGCAGTCATTGTTCCATTAAAATTACCTCCAGATTTGTTTAATTTTTTTTAATTTTTAATATAAGTGAATAACATTTACAATTGACAGATATATTATGTTTAGGTACTTATATGTTACTCTGTTGCTAATATATATATACTGCAAATAAGATTTGGTTTAATTATTTTGATGAATAAGCAATCAATATTGAAAACGTTTCTTTTGTTCAATTGTCTGTTATTCTTTGTATTACATATTTGGAGAAATAAATCAAAATTGTTTAAATTTATGTTGTTATGTGCGTGCTAGGATGTGTGCATGTATTGATGCGTGTACATGTTCAATGGTTATGGCAGAATGTAATAGCTAACTTTGAGCCAAGGGAATTAAGATCTGTCGACTGGGTGGATCAGGCGCGTACGCAGGATTTTTTCAAGGGGGGGGGGGGGTTTAACATTTATAAATCGGGCCGAAAATTTCGCAACGACCCAGCCAGCCGCTGAATAAGCGGGAGGGGGGGGGGGGGGGGGGCTAAGAGGACACTTTTTTTTTTTGGTATCGAAATTAGATAATTTGACATTTTGCTCCATGGGGGGGGGGGGGGGTAAGGTCATCTTTTAGAGGTCAGCCATGGGAATATATATATATATATATTTTTTTTTTAATAAAAAAACCCTGTGTACGCGCCTGGGGTGGGTATTCGTTAAGGGTTGTCCGGTAACCCCACGGGACCCCACGAATAAAAATATTGAATACAATTATTTTTTGCGATGAAATATTGGACTTTTAACACAGAGTTATTGTTGCCTCGCTTTAATCGTTTATTCAATTTTTTTTTGTAGATTATTTCTATTATTCTGTTGCTCCAACTGTGGGTATTCTGAGGATGCTAGGAACAGTGTGTGGTATGTGTGCGGAAGTGTGGTCGGGTGATGTGTGCATGAGGGTGTGTGTGTGTATATCTTATGTATATATTTATTCTTCGGACATTATGTTTTTGATACCAAGAATATGCTGTGAAAATATGTGCATTGTAACACTAGTGATATACATTGATTAATGCATTATTAATGGCACTTCCTTTTGCGGATTTTGAAGATGGAAATTGTGTGTGTGATAGTTCTGAACCATACCATGCACTGTGTACGTTTCCCAATGAAAAATAATATCTGTGACTTGGAATCAGGTCTTATTTTAGAGTTAACGAAATTAGCACTTGACAAAGAGTTGGCAGATGATTTAAAAGTACATTTTCCTTAAACAGTCACGCAAGTCACAGTGAAATCTCTGATAATAAAATGATGTTTTCCAAGTTGTATATAAAGTGGCCAGCTGTCCTACATATTAACGTGGCTGGTGTGCTAACTTCTAAGAACCACCTTGTTTACTCTTTGTATAGAAAGGAAATTGAATTAGCTTTCACTGGAATGGCAAACAATGACGAGGAGAAGCTGCCAGGACTCATACCATTTAGCAAAGGAATGAAGAGGAAAGCTGTGCAATACTTGGCAAAATCAAAGTATAAGGCTCTTTTCCTAATCCTCCCATCCACGTCAGCAGTAGAAGCGTTGAACGGCACCAACGAAATCAAAGTGAGGAAGGAGATGGTAAAGAGGAAGGACCTGTTCCCCCAAGAACCAGAAGGCCAAATTCGACTGGACGACTTTTCCTCAGAAGATTAGAGTTGCAGCACCCACCCTTTACAGTGTTTTATAAGCTGCAATGACACAGATACAACAGAGGTTGAACATACAAAAGATTCAATTAATAACAAGATGATTTTTTTTCCCAGTGATATTGTACCGATATTACCCTAAGTTCTCCTATAGAGTGGTGAAGTGTGATGTCATAAAAAATCTATTTTTAGAATTTCTCAATTTTTTTTTCATTTTCCGATTGAGCATAACAAATTAAGTCCGAATGTCGAAAACCAATTGAATATATTAAGTATTGGCTGAGATATGACCATCTGAATATATAGTTGTTCTATGGGAACTCGGTGTTATACTGCTCTGGTTCATAACATTAGGAACCAGCTGAGAGCACTATAACACCGAGTTACCATAGGAAATAAATTTATTAAGATGTTCATATCTCAGCCAATACTTAACATATTCAATTGGTTTTCGACATTCGGACATTGTTTTTTATGCTCTTTTGGAAAATGAAGGGAAAATTGAGAAATTCTAAAGAAAAAATGTAATGTCACAGCTTCGGTATTCTTATAAAGTATTTCAAATAAAATATAAGAAATCTACTTACATTTCATAAGATAATTTAAGTGAAATTAAGAGAAGATAATGGTTAATATGACCTTATCAGTCGACATGGCTATAATACATACAGGCTTTATGATTTCATTATAATGCAGATTTATAATACTTGTAGTGACTTGACCTTAGAACTTTACATTTGTAAATATTATTGTCTTGTCTTTATTGTGTGGGTTGAAGTCTGGCCTTTTATTCACCTGTAACATTTTTAGAGTGCCACACATACTTTCTCTGCCAAGCACATTTTAAACATTATTGTATTGAGATTCGCAGTTATTCTGGCAAGCATATTCCACACCCTATTTGTTGGTATGTGCAACCACCCAAGGTATTGGTACATTGGTATGGCATGCATATTACACTTTCTTGTCACACCTATATTCATAACTTCTCCCGAGCTGTTATTACAGAGCACACGTCTTTTAGAGCCTAAAGTCTAAAGTCTATACCAAAGCTTATTCAGCTTCATAATAGTTCATGTCCTACTTCTTCGCTTGTTTCTATACTCGGTTCTAAGGCTTTATTACTTTATAGAGATTATGAGTTTCTTCTCACTTACTTCTTCAGCAAAGAAGCGGTATTACTTTTTTTTTATAGTCTTACATATTCTTTCTATCAGTACTTTGTAATATTTGAACGACTACCTATTATTCACCTCGTGAGATAATTTGTCCCAAGTGTCTGTTTCAACAGGTGTTGCTACGAGACAAGGTAGGAAAGAAACCAGTTTCTATCTCTTTTATTTTAGGTGAACAATTCCCTAAACTTTCAAAACATGAGGCATCTTGGTGATTACCTTTTCTTTCTCCTTGATAGCTAGTTCACTGGACTCTAGATCCACCAGATCAAGAATGGGAAGCATGATCATGACAGCCCTATTCCATCATAGTCCACATCGGCACAAATACTTGCCAGGGTCCCTTACATCTGTATTGTGGAGGTGTGGTACGAAAGGAAAAGTAAGAATAACACATCAGAGAGTTGCTCAAAGGTATATGAACACAACAGTAAATGAATACTCAGAGCAGACAAATGCAAATCATCATTTAAACTCAATTTCAATTGTTTTTAAAAAATTAATTCAAGTGAATTGTTATCCAGCACAAATCTGTAAACTTAAGAAAAAACGATTGAGGACCTCAAAATATACGTCACAGAGTTGCCCATCTGTGTTTGATCAATTTCAGAGTAAAACAGAGACGAACTTTTATATAGATATATATATATATATATATATATATATATTATTTTCTTCCATTCAATTTGACAACATAATTATTTGACATCTGTTCAAACAATTCAATTTATACGTAGGAACATTAATTAAAGAACTTGTATTACAAGGAAGAAAGCGCGAAACCCGATAAGCAGAGCTTGTAATTGGTACGCCCGAATACACAAATAAATAATATGCATTATAAGTAGAAGAAAGGAAGAAAGGGATAGGCGGAGAGGAGGATAGAGAGCTTGGAGAAAGAGAAAAGAAGAGGACTGCAACATACAAGAAAGTATAGGTTTCTGCTGAGTTCGGGAAAGTAATAAAAAATACAAGAAATAATGATGCTCCGTAGACGCAGAAATTGTTAAGAATTTGTTCGTCCTTATGGCTTTGTCAAGTAATTTATAAATAATTGCATTTGACTTTGATTGGATGTGCACATTTTGATGAATAAACAATAACATTTTCAAAGACAAATCAAATCACTTCTTGACAAAGCCCTAAGGGTGAAAATTTGTGAAACAATTTCTTCGTCTACGGAGCTTCATTATTTCTGGTACTTGTGTATAGCATATATAAATATTAGAGCTAGAGTTGGGGTAATACAACAGATTGTATGATGTCCTGTTAATGTACTATTTAGAGTTATATATAGATGTTGACAAAATAAATAGAGAATGAAAACCACCTTTTTAATACTCCATTTCACTTTCAGGCCATCAACTCAATGTGTGAATGACACAAAGTGTGAACACTGCTCGAAGGAACGTAGACAAACTCACTCAGGATAATGACATCATTTCTGAATGGTGTAAGACAATTCAGGTAATAAAGAAGTTACAAATGCATCCCCCAAAATGGTTTTAAAAACACTATATTCAATACTTGGGGGGGGGGGGGGAATATTCAAGATTATAAAAATCTGGTTACTTTATCACATTGTAATACGTGCCATCAAGTTTTAAGTGCACACACATAATGGTTCCTGAAATACAAAGAAAGCCAGACAGAAAAACAGGTTTCTGGGAAAATACTTTACCTTCAATACCTTTTCCTTGGCAAGGCTCCAAAAGATGTTTTTATTGAAAAGTATTTTCCAACGCTTACGGATTTTTTTCTTTTCCTTTCTTTTTCTTCTTCAGAGAGAGGGTCAACGAGAGGAGGCTGGCCCAAATACACAACGTTAGTTCTGATATAAAAAAATCTCTTGTGTATATATTATTATTACAGCACAATGTTTGCAGAATATATATTAATTATTATGAGAAAGTTATCTTTGATAGTATCCATATATAAGTCAGAAAATCTTTATATTTATAAAAGACCTAAGACTATAAAGATAATGCATTGTCTTGTCATATATTATTGGAATTGCCATAAAATAATCGTTACCAATGTGAGCAACATCACACACATGTTTCTCTCTAATTCTACATGGTTTGAGTTGATCGAGAATTTTGGAGGAAAATCTGTGATTTTTACCTCTTTCACAAATCTCATTTGATGCAACCATTTGTTAGTCTACAACTACTATCTGCTTTGAACTGAAATTAGGAACGTCATCATGTCCCAAAAAGGTGCACGTCAACTGCAAAAAAAAAGAAGCAAGAATCTTCAAAATTGATCATTGTTTGAACTGGGATATACATATATCGAAAATTGTCTCCAAGCTATCTAGATCCATATCATGTATGAAAAAAATTAAACATTGAAAATAATATCGCTAGTGACATTCGTTTGTCTCGCAATGTATAAAATATTGAATATTATATGATATTGTTATATGATAGTTTGATATTATCACATATTGACTACGGTATTGTTTTGTTGGGCTGTTCAACAAAATGTCATTTTGATAAAAGTTACAAAAGCTTCAGAATCTTTATGCCCGTTTGATACTAAATGTTGATATGTTGACACATCGTAGTACATTATTATCCTGTTTAGAATGTTGTTGAGAGAGTGCAATACCTATGTAGAATATGGATGTTTAAGGTGATAAATAATAAAATGTCGAAATATATTTATGTGCTATCGAACGATAAACGTTTATACTAGGTATGCGACTACCTGTCCTCTATACATTGAAAAACCCAGAACCGATTACTTCAAAAGATCTTTCTGTTATCAAGGCTCCGTTATATGTAATGCATTACCCCCTTCTTTACGTTTGATAAACTCACTGGATTCATTAAAAAAAAAACTCTGCATACTCCTGTCCCTCACGTAATTTTATAATTTATTTAACATATATTTTGTTTAATTTATGCGCTCATCATAAGTTATGTATGTTTTTATGTTTGGTAAATATGTTTTTGTTCATGTTGATTCAGGGCCCTTGGTCGAGCAGCTTTCTATAACTGAAAGGGCTACCCTTTCGAAATAAAACGACAAATACGAATAAAATGTTTGCTGAGCATTGCACTTAAGCAATGTCATCCATGTTAAGGGCAATTTTGTCAGTGGATTCAGATATATTTCTGGACAACTATCCCATTTGTCATGAACAAAAATATCATCAATTCCTGTATATCTAATAAGTGCCTTCTCCCTTGGGGCACAACTCAAAATGTATTATAAATAGCATATCATTTTCATAAAATTAATTTTATAACATAATAAGTCCTCCTTCTTTTAGACGTATGACGGATCAGAGCACGACGAAGGCGAAAGACTAGCCCACAAAATCGTTCCTCCCGAGTCAAAGGAGTAGGGTGGAGTGCATTCTCTAGAATTTTAGATGCCACCATGGAAGAGTTTGCTGATCATACACAAACTGATCACATCCCACATAAGTACTCTGCAGAAAGTGCACAAAAAAGTCAATATGTAAGTAAGATCATTGCGTACGCGCCTGTATCCATACATTAATAAGCCCTTCATAATGTATTGTAGTTTGTAGGTTTATTTGTAATTTTTTGTTTTGTGAAATATGTAATTGTTTTTGGCTGTTATAGCGCTCAGAGACTTCGATGGTAAGCGCTTTATAAGCATCGTTTTTAATATTTATTATTATTTCACCAGGTACTTTGTTTCATATTCATGCCAAATTAAAAAAAAAAAAAAAAAAAAAGTACGTCCCTGAGGGGTTTCAAGTCCCAATCCATGGGGACCAGAAAACGGTGGAACTGGTGTACACAGCAAAAATTGCGGGAAGTACAGCAGAAATCCCCAAACATCGGCTCCAGGAGTTTCAACCGGTTCCGCAGGAATTCCATTTCAGGTCATTAGTCATGAAGGTATGTGTAAATAGCCGATGAAAACAAAGTTAATTTTAAAAAAGGGGTCTACTTATGTATATCCCCTTCCTGCTCTTCGTTTCCCATACTATCCTCACGCCACTGCTCACCAAATTTCTTTTCTGACTATTCTATTCCATCATGTCTAACACACCATCCAAGAACTGTATGTGCCTACAAAGGCAAATGAGAGAGCTACTCTTCAACACCTGAAGCATCTATTCCGTCATCAAGCTGTCAACGACACTACAAGCAACTTTAACCAGACGAATTCCTTCCTTTTGGTCAGTAATACAGATGCACTGCCTCTATGATGTTACTTCATATCTAGGACGCCATCCAAGAACTGTTTGTGCCCACAAAGGCGAATGAGAGAGCTATGAAAGTCTTCATATTAATGAATTTAATAAAAATTATCCAAAAAGATCCTATACACATTGTACAATTAAGAAGTCCAATACACCCAATCGTCTGGGGCTACACACAGCACATTGGGCTTTACTGTAGAAAATTAATACTATTGTAAGCATATATCTAATTTTTTTTTACAGATAAACCCCACTGTAATTGTATAACCTGCAATATCAATTGGCAATGTGCATGTAAATATCCATACATTAATAAGCCTTTCATAATGTATTGTAATTTGTAGGTTTTTGTTTTGGTTAATATGTAAATGTTCATCATGGTATTTTGTTTGTTATAGCGCTTATAAACTTCGGTGGTAAGCGCTTTAAGAGCACCGATTTTATTACTTATTAATATTTCACAAGATACTTTGTTTGAAAATATTCATGTCTAATTTACAGTTTTGTTACTCTGGTATGCAGTGTATATAATTGTAGTGTATCATGTAGTGTACTAATCTAAACATATAACTTGCTTTTTTATGGCCAATATTCGTATAGTCGAGCAAAATCCTTCCATTGCAGGTGGTACAATGAAAATCCTGACGGAAATATCAAAGTACGTCCCTGAGGAGTTTCAAGTCCCAATCCATGGGGACCAGAAAACTGTGGAACTGGTGTATACAGCAAAATATGCCCGAAGTACAGCAAAAATCCCCAAACATCGGCTCCAGGAGTTTCAACCGGTTCCGCAGGAATTCCATTTCAGGTCATTAGTCATGAAGGTATCTGTAAATAGCCTATGAAAACAAAACTTAATAAAAAAAGGGGTCTACTTCTGCATATCCCCTTCCTGCTCATCCTTTCGCATACCATCCCCACGCCACTGCTCACCCAATTTCCTTTCTGACCATTCTATTCCATCATGTCTAACACACCATCCAAGAACTGTGTGTGCCCACAAAGGCAAATGAGAGAGCTACTCTTCAACATCTGAAGCATCTATTCGTCATCAAGCTGTGAACGACACTACAAGCAACTTTAACCAGACGAATTCCTTCCCTTTGATCAGTAATACAGATGCACTGCCTACATTATGTTACTTCATCTCTAGGACGCCATCCAAGAACTGTATGTTCCAACAAAGGCAAATGAGAGAGCTATGAAAGTCTTCATATTAATGAATTTAATAAAACTTATGCAAAAAGATCCCTTACACATTGTCCATTTAAGAAGTCCAATACACCCAATCGTCTGGGGCTACACACAACACATTAGGTTTTACTGTAGAAAATTAATACTATTGTAAGCATATATCTAAATTTTTTTTTTACAGATAAACCCCACTATAATTTTATAACCTGCAATATATCAATTGGCAATGTGCATGTAAATATCCATACATTAATAAGTCTTTCATAATGTATTGTAATTTGTAGTTTTTTGTTTTGGTTAATATGTAATTGTTCATCATTGTATTTTGTTTGTTATAGCGCTTAGAAACTTCGGTGGTAAGCGCTTTAAGAGCACCGATTTTATTACTTATTAATATTTCACAAGATACTTTGTTTGAACATATTCATGTCTAATTTACAGTTTTGTTACTCTGGTATGCAGTGTATATAAATGTAGTGTATCATGACTTGTAGTGTACTAATCAAAACATATAACTTGCTTTTTCATGGCCAATATTGGTATAGTCGAGCAAAATCCTTCCACTGCAGGTGATACAATGAAAATCCTGACGGAAATATCAAAGTACGTCCCTGAGGGGTTTCAAGTCCCAATCCATGGGGACCAGAAAACTGTGGAACTGGTGTATACCGCAAAAGTTGCCCGAAGTACAGCAAAAATCCCCAAACATCGGCTCCAGGAGTTTCAACCGGTTCCGCAGGAATTTCATATCAGGTCATTAATCATGAAGGTATCTGTAAATAGCCTATGAAAACAAAACTTAATAAAAAAAAAAGGGATCTACTTCTGCATATCCCCTTCCTGCTCATCCTTTCGCATACCATCCCCACGCCACTGCTCACCCAATTTCCTTTCTGACCATTCTATTCCATCATGTCTAAGACACCATCCAAGAACTGTGTGTGCCCACAAAGGCAAATGAGAGAGCTACTCTTCAACATCTGAAGCATCTATTCGTCATCAAGCTGTGAACGACACTACAAGCAACTTTAACCAGACGGATTCCTTGTAAGATCTTTGTACATTAAATATTGTGTGGTTATCTAAAAGTTGTTTAAGAGCAGATACGTTGTGTTTTGTTATTGCAAGAAATGAGAACGCTACGAAATTCTTCATCAAATGACTTTAATAAAAATATCCCATATACATTGTCCATTTCAATAACTCCAATAACGTCTTCTGGGGCTTTACACACAACACACTGCATGGGTTTTACTGTCGATTAATAGAATGGTAAATATATATCCAATTTGTTACAGATAAACTCCATTATGATTTTATGAACTACAATTTCACATGAGAATGTACTTGTAAATATCCATACATTAAAAAATCCTTTCATATATATAATGTAATTTGAAGGTTTATTTGTAATTTTTTGTTTTCGTTTATGTAATTGTTTATCATTGTATTCTGTTTGTTATAGCGCTTAGAGCCTTCAGTGGTAAGCGCTTTATAATCACCGTTTTTAATATGTATTATTAGTTCACCACGTACTTTGTTTCATAGTCATGCCTAATTTACAGTTTTGTTTAGTCTGGTGTGCAGTGTATTGAGTGCATTTTTTTAATTGTAGTGTATAATTGTAGTGTACTAATCTAATCATATAACTTACATTTTTAAGGCCAATCTCCAAGTGCTTCCCTGAGAGATTTCAATTCCATATTCATTGGTACCAGAAAACAGTGGAACTGGTCTACCGACTGCAAATTTGCCAAGAGTATGGCAGAAGTCACAAAACATCGACTAGAGTTTCAGCCAGTTCCATTGGAATTCCATTTCAGGATCGACATTAGTCATGAAGGTATGTGTGAATAGCCTGAAGAGAAAAACAAAATTAGTGAAAAAGATAATAATGGTCTACTTCTATTTATCACCATCCTGCTCTTCCTTTTCCATACTATCCCTTTCCCACCCCACTGTTCACTCAATTTCTTTTCTGACCATTTCTAATTCATGTCTAGGACACCATCCATAATCATTTTATGCCCACAAAGGCAAATGAGAGAGGTACGCTGTGAACGACACTACGAACAGGCCCGACAGTGCTTACCCTCAAGGACGCATCGTACGTTGCAACGTAGCGATACATCAAAATTACTTTGGAGTCTTTATCCAGTCTGAATCGAAATGGAATACTTGGTAACTTAATGTTAATTTATTAAGTTATGTAAGTAATATTTTGTTTTCTTGGTAATTTGAGTATTGTTAATTCCATTAGTAATATTGATTTTTCTTGAAGTAATTTTGATATGTGTGCAGCGCTTTAAAACTGTTATGTCACAAGTGCTATATAAATTGTTCGTATTATTATTGTTATTAATACGCATGTTGAGTATATATATGGTCAAACGTGCAAATAGTCGTTTGTATGTACTTCGCACCTTGAAGAATCACAGTCTATTACAGTTCAGGACCTTATTGTTGGTTATACCAGTTTCATGATACCAGTTGTCGAATATGCTGTACCTGTTAGGAGGTCTCACAAAGCAACAAGTTAAAGTCATCGAACAGGTACAAAAGCGTGCCCTTAGAATCATCTTTGGTGGAGAACTTATTATCCGTACAAGAGTGCATTACTCCAGTCAAAAGTCTCAATAGCAGAAGATCTGACTTTTGCTAACTACAAGATACTGAGAGCAGCCAGAGAAGCAAGTAACGTCACTGCAGCTTAGTCGCAAGACAGACGAATTTTCGTAGCCCTACAAGCAAGTGATGGAAAGACTGCTAAGAAGCCTATCACGTCCTTCGAAGATCGGACATTTTTTTAAACAATGATTTGATGAACATCTCTCGAACATCTAACAATGTTGAATAGTCATAGCTTTCTTACTTCATCCTCATAATTCACTCATGGTTGAGTTTCCAACATAACATAAGAGTTATGGGTGATTTCAATTGCAACATCAGGGGCGGATCTAGCATTTTTTTTTTTTTTTTTTTTTTTTTTGGGGGGGGGGGGGGGTGACCCAGTGGAGGATACAGGATTTTCCAAGACGGGGGGGGGGGGCGAAATTTGAAAATCGCGCCGACCAATAATTTGCTCAGTGGGGGGGGGGGGGGGGGGGGAGGTAGTGAGCACTAAATTTATTCTTTCATTTTGCCCCCCCCCCCCGAAATTCGGAAAAAGTGCCCACCAATATTTCGGGGAAGGGGGTTAAACCCCCTAACCCCCTTAGATCCGCACCTGAACATGTTTACTGAAAACAACCTTTCAGACAAAGTTAAATAAATATGTGCTTTATATAATATGTCGCAGCTGATACAAAGTCCTTCTCGTATAACCCCATTTAGCAGTACTTTAATCGACCTTGTTTTGGTTTTAAACTGTATAAGTTCATTGACATCAGGTGTTCAGTCAATCGGTCTAAATGACCATTCCCTTGTGGACGTTATACTAAAATCTTTAGGTATCAAAACTGTTCCTGTAATAAGTAAATTCAGGTCATATAGAAGTTTTAATGAAGAACTGTTTTTTCAAGGTTTATGAAATACCAATTGGAATAGTTTAAACAATGATAGTATCGATGAGTTCTGGGAGAGCTTTAAGAATTGTTTTAATTGCGTATATGATAAACATGCGCCAATAGTATCAGTGAGAAGGAAATCAAGAGGAGCACCTTGGATAACAGTAAATTATCTTGAAATTTCAAGAACACGTGATTTTAACAAGTTACGAAAAGTATCAGTTTTGGAATGAATTTAGAAAGTACAGAAACAGAGCTAACAATCTTAATAAAAAGATGAAAAAGAAATACTATGACACTTTGGATAACCAAAACTTGGAAAGTTTATAAAGAGTTGAAACTTTTATTTTGACATGTTTTGTTCTTAGGCTGGATTGAAGTATAGTGATGTGTTTTAAAGTAACATATATTGAAAATTAAATGATTTGGTATAGTAGCAATATCAAAAATAGGAATGAGTTATTGTATTTTCCAAACTGAATACAATTCTTAAATTGAAACAAGTCTCAGTAAACAGTATCTGGAAAGAAGTTGATTCCATTTGTATTAATTTTCAAGAAAATGAATTACTGTCCGCCTTTAAATTGGCAAAGTTAAAAAGTGCATTCCCGAATTTTTGGTTGCAGAAGTTACGTAATAGGATACAATATGTCAATAATCCACCGTCTGCAGTGGAATCCAGTACAATAGAAATGGTAACATGTGACTCCATTGTTGAAGCGGGCATGCTGGCCAAACACTATTATAATTTGATGTTAAAAAAGAACAGGATCTGCAGTGTATTTATTTTTGGAACGCTTTTTTGATTTACCTAATGGGTTTAACTGGAAGACGGTGCTTCAATATAAATTTTACTTTGTAAATGACAACAGAATTATAAAGCAGTTTAATTTTAAATATATTCATAGAATATTACCCAACAAAGACAATTTATGTAAATGGAAGATTAAAAATAATAATCTATGTGATATCTGTAAGATCCCGGATACAACTACTCACCTTCTCCTGGCTAGTAAGAAGGTTACGCTTTTTTGGAAGATTGTATCCAAATTAGTCGATATTTTGTTTAATTCAAAATCTTTTTGAAGGAAAAAATTCTTTTAAAAGGTCATGAAATAGAAACGAGAGCAATGAATCTTTTAAACTTTGCTCAGTTTATTATCTAAAGAAACTATATAGTAGAGAATTTTTTAAAAGTGAAAAGCACAGGATACATGCTGTATATTTGATACAAACAAAGTAAAAAAAAAATGTTTTCATTATTTTAGCTAGTGATGTCACATTAGTTAAATATATAAAATATTAAAATTGCATGAATTCTGTATATAAACACTGTTGTAAATAGCTGTTATGTTATGATATGAACAAATAAAGTCCCTCGAAAGAAGATAAACAGAAGAAAAAATAAAGAGTTGATCCCAAGAAACAAATGCAGAAACAGTTTTGACTCTCTAATAGACGGACAAATTGATAAAAATCAAGAAGACTTGGCAAATGCATTCAATAACGCAGTCCATGATATATATAAAATGTTTCCTCCGGTTGAGGACGTGGATCTGTATACTGCGAGTACATTTAAAGAAGATTTTTTTTTTCAAAGTTGTTTTCTAGAATGATTATAAAATATCAATTTTGATTAATATGCTTGCAAATCTAAATATCATATTTTGTCTTTCCTCAATCAATTTTTAAATTCATAACGACTGAGTTTCAAACTTTCAGAATTGAAATTCTAAATTAGCTGACATAATAATAATATAATAATAATAATAATAATAATAATTATAATAATGATAATGATGATGGTGATGATAATGAATATCATGTTTGTTTTTTTTTAATTCCACTGATCTAGCTGTCTCTCTTTTATTCGATCTTATTAAAACCAACTGAATACTAGTGTGAACTTTCCATTTTATCAGTGGAAGTTTGTTGAAACAAGATATTTATCATCATCATCATCACCATTACAATAATAATATAAGATTATACCGTTTATGCAAGGAGTTTGATGAGTTGGAGTCCCAACTGGCAACAAGTTATTCCAAGCAGCTGCCGTTTTCTTAGGTTGCATAATAGAATCTACAGGTGTGCTGTTTATCGTTGATGTCCGAGGTTCGAAGCCGCCAGTATCATTGAAAAGCTTGAGTAGTGATTTTGTTCACAAAGAAATATCGTTAATATTTCACTTTTTATTTGAACTAACAAGGATAAAATCGAAGAGATGATAAAATATGAATACAAAAACCTAATTGTATCAAGAAATTTGCTCACGTTGTATGATAGCAGTTTTAATTTTGAACAAAAGTTTTAAAAAATGTACAATCCTAAAACCTGCCATTTGACATTTTGCCGATTACTTCCGGCTCACGAAAATACAAAATGAATTTGTTCATGTACAGTTCTTTATGCACTATGTCAGATTAGTGCCCACACCTGCCCAGTCAAGTAATTTTGATTAATGTTTCAGGAAATCTTGCTCCATTTCCTTTCGCTTTGTCTCCTGTAAAGGTAAGCACTGTGTACTGCTCGTATTATCAGCTAGACAAGTGGTAACGAAAAGTAATTATCATTACAAAAGCATATTTCCCTTTGAAAGTGGCCCGTTAAGTTTGCAGCTAGGCAGGAATCTTCTGTCTACGTATCTGCAAGGAAGACGTAGTTAAGCACATGCTTGACATATTTTCTCCTGGCGGCATCGAAGATGGTACAAATTAAAGGGAATGAGCTAGATATGATTCCATCTCTTAAAACTCCTTGGTTTATCACAGGTGTAAAAGCACTGAGATTGTTAGCGCTTATTTGTATATGATTATAATCATATACAGCATGCCTACCCAGTAAACGTGCAAAATGCGATATTATGTCCTAAATGTGCACAACATAGCACAACAAGTTCACAAATTAAATCATCTGCTAGTTTCGTATCTTCATATTCTGTATGGATAAACAAGTACAAAACTAGGAATAATTTTCCTCTCTAAAAATAAGAAAACAAATTGACTTACTGCTGGCAAAACTTGCCGACACTTAAATGGATAACAGGTGTGGCTATCCGGAGTCACCCCAGCTCGTGAAACAGCTAGAGGTCCTCTCAGTGTGGGAGCTGGCTGCAGACTGATTCCAAACTGTATGACTGAACCAGCCCAGTCCAGAACATATAGGAATTTAGCACCTGGGTGCATGCCTAGCAATGCAGTATGAAAAGAGCTAGGGCTACAGAGCACCTCAAAAGGGATAACTAATTATCATAACAAAGACTGTCCTGGCTTGGGCTATAAAAACAGACCCTAAAACATGGTAATTGATCGAGATTGTGACAATGATGTTGATGATGACATTAGTGACAATGATGATGATAATAATAATAATAATAATAATGAAAAATAAAATAATAATAATAATAATATTAATAATGATGATAGTAATAAGACTATAAAGCAATTATAAAAGGGATTATATTATTATAAGGGAGTTTACAGATAGCACATCGTACAAAGTTAAAGGTAAAGACCAGTTATGGTCATGCGATTGCATCGTGAAAGAAACGTTGTGGAATCGATCAGAAAAGACTGATCATCTAGCATATAAGTATTGGTGTGTGCTGCAAGGTTCTGGAATCATCAAATGATAAGAAATATGGCCCAGTCTTCGTAAAGTTACAAGCACTGTACACAGAAAGATGTATATGGGACTATATGCATACGTGCGCGACACGTGCGTTTATCTCTCACAGACCATGTAGATAAACTCATTTACCAAATTTATCAATTAGTAGGCGGTTTCCCGGCAAAATTTGTATCATCATGTATTAGTCAAAACATATTCTTTCACATGATTGGTAATAAGAGCTTCCATTTCATTGTTCGAAATTGGGGCGTTTCCAATACTGGTCTTTACCTCACACTGATATAGTGATATAAAAATTAAAAAAGTAATGATAGAACTATAACTACACAACACACTTCACTTGGATCGACCAAATCAATTGATTCATAATGTATATAAATAATGTTTCCTCGTAAAATGAGAGTAATTTTAATCGTTTCTTTCTTTTAATTAAATGTAACGTTAATTGTTATTGTGTTTGTGTAATTGTGTTAAGTAGGGGCACGCTACAAGAGTCCTATCTCGCACCCCCCCCCCCCCCCATTTACATGGATCATGACAAAAAAGACGATTTAATAGGCCAAGTGCATAGATTAATGGGCCTAATAAGTTGTAGATCGATCTGGTCCTGGTTATGCAGTTGAGTTTTAGAGTTCTATGCGTTTATAACAGATAATTATAATGAGTATAGATGTTATTGAGACCTTTGATTTTGTATATGTAGGCCTATGCAATACATAGTCTAGTTTAGATATATCAGAAAAATTTGGGGGACCTGAGAGAAGAAAAAAAGAAGTTTTGTTTACACTACGGACAGAACATTTTTTATTGATACACAGCATTACTGTGATAAAATGAATCCTTGAATTCGAAGGGTGCGCCACCAAGTTGGCGCCACCTACCGGCATAGAAGCGTAGTTTCGTTCCCTGCCGGTAAAGGTCCTTGAATTGTTGCGACCATATCTGTCAAATGTCAGATATCTCAACGAGTTTTTTCCATATTAGTCTCTCCCAAACAATGTTTAATGGGGAGACAAAGGATATGTAGCGGAAACGGACATCTCGTTTTCATATTTTATTAAAATATTTAATCATAAAGATTTATTTATACAACATTCAAACCGTGTAAAGAAAAATATAACACACACATCACATTTGAAGACAATGGAATATTTCGTGTAAATTACTCTTTATTGATATACTCAATTTACTAAACACACAAAGAATCGTTGCATGAGATTACAATCAAACTGCCACATCCATATTCATTTATTTCTTAACATATCGTCTGTGTTGCAACTCCCGATTAATGCTTTTTATTATTAAGATTCTACTTGATTTAGCAACATAAAACCTGTTGTGTTAATTTTTAAAGAATGAAGTAAACATGCATGCCTATCGTCTTATTAAAATACAAACATCCCCATGAAAATGGAGAGCAAGTCCTTATATTAGTCAATTTGATAGTCAATATGTTTATTGTCTTTCTGGTGAAACAAACCTTTATCACTGAGAGGATTCTTGTATTTAGCACCTTTAACATAATCGAAATTATGACAATAATACTCAGCTGCAACCGCGCTATTAAAAAAGTGTTATGATAAATCTAAGTGTATACTAAGGTCTTTATAAAGAATTATTTATCGTCTTGTGAACGGGACATAAACGATGTATGTTTTGTAAACCGTACGCACCCGAAATTATATATATTTTTTTTCATTTTTATTTCTGCATAATTTCAAATACAATAACTGATAAGATAAGATAAGATTTTGATAAGATGTTATTTGACTCTATCGACCCTCTTCAGGGGTATGAGAGCACAACATATTTACAACACAATACCGAAATATATATAAAACAAATTAAGATATGATAATGAAATACATAGACATGATATATGCAATTGTTATATTTCTATAACACAATAAACATGAGCTAAAGACTAAGTATACACTATACAATTTAAAGTTATATTCTAAAATATGACGTGGTTTGGTTTGTCTACCACTACGAGTAACTACACTTTTATTAACAAAAATAGGACCATGCCTTTCAGCTTTAGGAACCAACAAAAAGAATCGTATTATTACTGTTATGAATTTTACAAGTTTCTTAATTATTTAACGCTAGATCTATTAAACAATTTGTCCATGTGAAAAGTGCTAGGGTTACTCACAACAAACTGTCGATCTAAGTATAACTGCCTTTCTTTCTTGAAAAAAGGGCAGACAAAATATAGTGAAATTCATCTCCAAAAACCTTTAAATTACAACAAAGACATTCAATTTTACTTTCTTCAGGATTATTTTCAAACCTTCCATTATTAATTGGTAAGCAGTGTGACCTGCATCGGAATCGACACAAAGTGATCGCACCTCTTCTATTCCACTTTACCAGATACTTTTCAAATAAAATTTCGTTCTTGATAATTCGGTAGTTAACAAAAATGCGATTTGACCAAACATTTGACATTATTTCTCGCTTTGACATGTCAGTCAACCTTAGCTTAAGAGCAAAAATCTACCAGTCTCACCATAAATCATACAGTCAGGTGTATATTTATTGACATTCAATATGGCCCTTAACAATTTGCGATGACAAATTTCAATCTGACTTAAATCCTCAAAACCCCACACCTCACAGCCATATAAGAGTATTGGCATGATTACTGATCAAATAACTCACACTGAATATCCAATGATAATCTTAACCTTTGCACCTTCAAGGTCATTGCAAATGAGGCTTTTCTTGCCTGAATCACCTGTTTACATATTGCCTTTTAAGAATTACCATTATAATCAAATTTAACCCCAAGATACACAAAGTCATGTACTACATTGATAATATCGTTCCCATACTTGAAAACTGGGTACTTGCGTACCTTTCCTTAAGAGAATATCATTATCTTTGTTTTTTTCATTATTCACATGCAATTTCCATTTCTCACAGTATTTAGACAGAGCATCCAAAGCCATTTGGAGTTCCTCTGGATTTTCTGCCAAGATAATAGTATCATCTACATATAGCAATGCATGTAAATTAATAAATAATTCTTCATCAGAAATTTTATCAAGAACATCAGAACACACCTCATCATATAAATACCGTAAACCTTTAAATTTGGTTCGTATATATCCAACAAAATCATTAAGATAAATTGCGAAAAGTAAGGGGATAAATTATCACTGTGCCTTACCCCCAACACACGACTTAGCAGAGACATACATATTCTTAATGGCTTTAAATACCTTGCCGTTTACTCCTGACAATAACAATTTATACCAAAGGGATGCTCGATCTATCATATCAAAGGCTTTTCTAAAATCCATAAAGACGCAATAAATCCTCATTCCCTTTGACAAATACATATCCAGTAAAGATTCCAACACAAATGCATGATCCATTGTGGAATAACCTTCGCGAAAACCCGCCTGTTCTTCTCCAAGTACAGATTCATTTTTAAAATATAAAGTAATTCTATGATTCAATATTGAAGTGAACAACTTTCATAAACAGCTTGAAAGGGTAATACCACGATAGTTGTCTGGATCTTTGTCCCATCCTTTGTTTTTGAATATTGGAACAATCATTCCAACACACCAATCATGAGGCACTATTCTACTTTCTAGAACTATATTCAAAACAATTGTTATCACTTCCAGAACCTTACCGGTTACGTTTTTCTAATTTGATCAATACCGCATGATGAATATAATTATGTAAACGTAAGGTATGATACAATTTTTCAAAATACGATATCTGAAAATGTAAACGTAAGTTTTAATAAAAAATATGTAAATAGTAATAACTTAATGTCAAATTGTGATATACATATGAACATATTATAACGAACTTCATATTTCTATAATACAAGTTAAATATTATGAGTTTAAAGTATTTTCCTAACTAACTGTGAAATACTGCAGGAAATCGCCGTCATAATAAAACGACGCTTGATTAGGATGGCGGCCTCAAAAGAAAAATCTTCAGGTGAAATTTAAATGAAAATGTGTTCATACGATCTTTGTGTATGAGTGTGTGTGTGTGTGTGTGTGTGTGTGGTGCGTGTGTGTGGGTGTAGCAAATGGTGCATGTGCACGTATCTCTGTTTTGTACGATGGGGTAGAAAAATGTTGACTTTTCAATAAAGGAACAAAGCATACGAAAATTAAAACTGACTTGCAATGTGACCAAAATATGAGATACCAATAATGACATATTGTATTTGTAAATCAATACCGTTCATATTTCGATACAACTTTTTTTAAAGACATTCTACAGAAAAACGAGAGATAAGCATTGCATTGTTGAATTCGGTGAAGAATTCCAAACAAATTCGGCCCAGATAACTTGCGGCATATTATTTACACATGCAGTCTCGCGGGCCTTCTGTCAAGTACGTATTTGATTGAATTGGATGAATTGATATCTTTATTTATACACGGTTAGAGAATACCAAACTGTTACAAGACTGATTTCCATTGGGGCCGTGTAAAACAATGTAAATTCATCAAATAAACAAATCATTTATGAACTTTAAAAAATAAATAAAAA